GTCTTGTATGAAACCATAAGTTGTCTAAAAGACTTCCTTATTACGGTATAAGTTATACGGTATACACATTTCAATAGACTTATCGTTTAAATAGTATAAATTAATTAAAATAATGAAAGAATTTATTAAATCAATTCATTTGAATTCCTTTTATACAATGGATATTATCTGTTGAGATGCATAAATAAACAAAAATGATTCAAATTGTCAATATTTTTGTCTAAAAAGTAATTAACACAAAAATAGACTGAATATGAATATTAAATACAGTATTATTTATAAAATAAGTTTGGAAATACCAGTAGTTTCAATCGGTTAAAGTACAGTACAGTACAGTATAGTTACTTATTATAATACAAATGATAAAATGATAATATATTCAGAAATTGAGTAAAATATCAAATTAAAGTGTAATGAGTTTTGATTGATAAATAAAATTGAAGCCAATTATTTCTAGAGTGGATTACAATTTATATAAGTTTTGATTTGAAACAAATAAAAATCAAGTGAAGAGTGAGAGACAATCATATCTCGATTGTACTGATGTTATAGACCTCGACGTCTTCATTCGAGTCGATGATGGTTTGGCCCATCATTTCCGGATGACATTTCTGTTGGTGTCGGTTCACGTGACTCGACTTCACAAACCGCTTATTACAGCCGTTGTATCCGCACTCGAAGTTCTTCTCTCCCGTATGAGTCTATTCAATGCAAACCAAACAACTATTGCATGAAAACCAATTGAAACACACGTTTAAATGGTATACCTTTTTATGATTAGTCACATAACTCATGGAAACCGCTTTATATGAACAGTTGGGCCAATCGCACACAAATGGCTTGATGTCCGCGTGAGCCATCATATGCTTACGCAAATGATGTTTAAATGGTATACCTTTTTATGATTAGTCACATAACTCATGGAAACCGCTTTATATGAACAGTTGGGCCAATCGCACACAAATGGCTTGATGTCCGCGTGAGCCATCATATGCTTACGCAAATGACACGACTGTCACAATCACAAATGGTTAGCTAGTTTTACCAACAATGGCATGTTTTACAATACCTGTAAGAACTTCTTATTACAGCCGGGCCACTCACATAGGAAAGCCTTCACGCCCTCGTGTACGGCCTTCTTGTGGTCAGTGAGGGCTCCCTTAAGTCTGAATTTCCACTCACATCCCGGCCAATCGCACCTAAAGTCAACCCATTCATTAATTATTGATTCTAACACTAAATCAATGTAAAACACATACATATAAGGTTTCTCTCCCGTATGCGTTCTCATATGGGACTTCAGACCAGGTTTTTGGCTATCAAATCAAACTAAGTGTTAGAACTCTATAGTTAATTAATGTAGTCTTAAAAAATACCTAAACGACTGCTCGCAACCGGGCCAATTGCAACTAAATTATAGGCAAATAAAACATTTCATCAAAAACAGTATCTAAAACTAAGTTATTATTGAGTTAATGACTTACGCATAGGGTTTCTCTCCGGTATGGCTTCTCAAATGGAGCTTCAATTGCTACTCAAAATATTTAATCAATTAGTTAACGAAATGGCAATTCATTTATGTGAGGATTACCTGTGACTGAGGGAACCGCATCTCACAAGAGGGCCAATTACACCTAAACACCAACGCATACATTAGTGACATTCATTGGAAATACGATAATAACAGACATACCGGTAGGGCTTCTCTCCGGTGTGCAGTTTCTTATGATCCCATAAATTGGACCGATATTTGGCCACATATTCACAGCCATCGAAAGGACATGGATAACGACGGGTGGCATTCTTTAGCTGTGTGCTCACCGCTTGTCTCAACTCATACTTCTTGGGTCGACCTCTCTTTGGGGGTAAATCGCCGGCTCCGGCATCGGGTCTAACAATCTTAAGCTCCAAATTGGAGGGAAGTTCTCTCTTAAGTCTGTTTCTGGTTTGAATGGAGCGCTCGGTTTCAATCATTTTCACTTTACTTCTGTTAATTCTGTTATTCTTCTGCTGTTTTATAACAACAGTTGTCTTCTTGTCCTCATTCTTCTCCTCTTCATTCTCTTCATTCACTTCTCTATTGTCTTCCATCTCCTCCTCGCCTTCATTCTCATTGTCTTCATTTTGTGCATTCATTTGCTCCACATTTGAGTCATTCTGAAGACCTTCCGACTGTTCATCATTGGAATCGTCTTTCTTTCCACTCTTATCCAAAGTATTGCTGTGTCTGGAGATGGCATTCAACACAAGACAACATTAGCACAAACTTGAAAATCAAACAACCTTTTAGTGACCACTCATTCACTAACGAACCCATAAATGGTCAATAAATGTACAAAATATGTATAAATATCTCATTTAATTAGTTGTATGTTTGCTTTAAAAAGTTTTATAAAAGTTATAAACCATTAAATATTCAATAAAATGCAAATATGCGAGAAATACTGAAAGCCGGTACAGTTAGCCGTAAGAGTCCGGTATAACTACCGGTACTATAAACCCTTGTGTCAATCCCTGTCAACCCGATGCCTATATGTGCGACAACTGAAGTAATTTGCGGTCAAATATGCAGTGAATTGCAGACATGGATACAGTGTTGGACAGAGTGTATGGCGATTGGTGTCTACCATATCATATGATAACTAACTCTAACTCCGCGTGAATGCAAAAGCAGTGCATAACTGAAGGCAAAGTGTCAGCAAAAATCGTAACGTATTTATGAGTCAATCATTGGTTACCTCTTAAGGAAATGAGTCTTCACTTTGTCGATGGTATCAAATCTCTTGGCGCAGAACCGACACGAATACATCGTTAGCATCACTTCCACCGCTTCGGCGATCACTAAGTCTGTTAACAAATGGATAATCAAAGTCTGTTAATGTCAATCAAATTGTACTCATGAGGCATATAATTGGTGCCAAAAGTGGACACAAGAGGCTGTCGGCGGCATTCATACCATCGCTTTGTTGCTCAACAGGGGCTTCGGCTTCGTTGCTGTCGTCCATTGTCTGTTGCGATCACTTCTTGTGTGCCAATTGATGGTAAATCACCGAAAATCAACTAATTTGCACTTTTTTGGTCACAAAATGCCCAAAAATAATAACAGTTTATTTGTGCTTTCATTTTACTATCTATTTTGACACTCAAGTACCGCTTAACGCACTCAACACATGAGCACTATTTTATACACACATTACTCTAATTTTCATTATAGTCATATTGTCCTAAAAAGGGACAAAAGTTCGAATACAATTGGTCCATTATGTTGAATATATGAATTTATAATGCATTTTGATTGGATTATTATTTTCATACTGGCATTCAATGGGATGTTTGGCGCATATTTTCAAAGTGTATTGAATAGATTGATGACTATATTTGCAACTTAATTAATTAATTTACTTATATTTAATAATAGTTAATATGATAATTAAATATTATGAATATATGGTAATTAATTGAAAGTGAAATTGGACAATTATGAAAATACAATATGACTAATAAAAATGAACACAAAATTTGTACAATGTACAATTTGTACATTTAATGTATTGTATAATAAAAGTATGAATATTTTGATTAATTCCTGATTGTGTAGTGAATTATTAATAACTGTTGAATCGACAGCTATTGCTAATCAACTTATCTACTTATCTACTGTATGATAGCCTTAAACTTTTTCAAATGTGATATGAATAGCAAATCACCAAATTTCATATCAAATCATTTCAAAATTGTTCAAGGGCCTTTGTTCAAGGGCAATTGAATCAAGGCTATTATTCTGTTTAAAAAGAACTTGATTAGAATTTGTTTATTATAAAATTAGATATATTCTTATGTTTAAAGTGTTATATTTGAGAAATTATTTTTGTAATTACATAAAACTTGGTTAATTATATAAAACTACTAAACTTAGCCATGAATTATGACAAATATTTTGACGATAAAGTAGTTTTAGTGACCGGAAGTAATTCAGGAATAGGAGAGTCAACTGTTTTACTGTTCTCTTCATTGGGGGCTAAAGTAGTGGTGACGGGAAGGGATGGCAACAAGAATGAAGTGGTGGCCAATAAATGCCAACAAATATCACCCAACAATCATAAGGTGTTTAACAGTAATTGAATGTTTAATATTGACATCATTTGATTAGCCGTTGACAGTAGTGGCCGATGTGTCCAAAGAACAGGATGTGGACAGACTGATGGACACAGTTGTTGAACATTTCGGACAATTAGATGTATTGGTGAACAATGCGGGCAAAGGAGGAGGTCGTGCCGATGAGAGCCTACAAGAATTGGATACATATTATTGCACAAACTTGCGATCAGTTTATCAGTTGTGCTTAAGAGCAAAGCCTTTACTCCAGAAGACTAAAGGAGCCATTGTTAACATCTCAAGCATTAATGGACTTAAACCCGTAATCACTTTATATTATACTTATGTCTAACTTATACACAGTTTATAACTATTAATCTCTAATAACTATTATTAACTTTTAATAACTATTATTAACTTTTAATAACTATTATCTCTTGTAGTTCCCAAACGTGTCTTATTGTATATCAAAGGCTGGGATGGATATGTTGACGAGGTGTCTGGCCATGAATTGGGGACCAATTGGTATCAGGGTAAACGGTCTTAAGTACGCCTGGTTAAAGTGAAAACTATAAAACAGTAAATAATATATTGAATGCTTGTAGTCCCGGACAAATAGACACTCCTATATGGCAAGAGTCTACAGATATGACACCCGAACAGATCAATGAGATGTGGAAAGCAGTGGATCTTAAATACCCGATCAGAAGACGTGGATATCCAGAAGATATCGCCAAATCGATTGTCTTCTTAGCCTCTAAAGAGTCTTCATTTATAACCGGAGTTAACATTAGAATCGATGGCGGCTTCCTTGACTCACCCGCTCTTATATTGCAGTAAATGTACATGATCAATCAATATTTTATTAATAGACTAAATTTTAATTAATAAATATTAATTAAATTAGTTAAATTTGATTAGTTTATACTGTATTAACAAAACATGTAGTGAGTAAATAAAATTATTAATAAAACAAAAATATTTTGATTAATTATCACTGATTAATACTAAAGTTTAGTAAAATATTATCTTAATAAAGGGAAAGTATGCGTCTAGGGAGAATCTTTATAAATTGTTGTAATTTAATTTATTTAGATAAAGTGAACATAAAATAAAATATGGTTTAATTAAATTTTAGTTAGTGGCGATAGTTTTGTTATTTGCTGAATTATATTCTAAAAGTTGATAATAAAAAAGTGTATTAAAAAATATTATTTGTGGAATACATTAATGTTACTCATATCTTTAAGACTTATAATTATATATACAATTAAATGGGTCATCTAATGCCACATAGCATCATCTGTATTACTGTAAATATTTTTCATTTTATTTTGTTAGTTATTATAGAACTCTAATTATTACAAAAATTCTTAACTCAATTATATTTTATTGAAATTTGGTAAGTAATCTAATGATCCAATTACTAGTTAAAATATTCTTATAATAAGTTAATTCAACATTTTTCAAATTTAGAAATACAGTATATCCAATTATAAAATAAAGTAAGGTATAAGAGTGAATATTACTAATAAATATATAGACAACCAACTCTATAATAGGGTAGGGCTGATGGATAAAAAAAAGATTATGCTTGTTAATTTAGTGGTTTTATAAGAATAAAAAGAACAAAGATCATACAAAGTCTTGCTTAATTTTACAACACTGTATTTAAATTTTAATATAATCTTCATATTATAAAATAATATTAATGTCAAAATAAATTCATAATTTATGAGATAGCAAGAAATTTGAGCATAAATTAATAAATTAATAAATTATACAACTTATTACTATGAAAATAGAAAGTTATTCAAAAAAAAATTCAGAATAAATTATATATTATAATGACTTCAATTAGTTTCCAATTGCTTTTGACTTGAAAAAATGATATAAAAACAGTGGTTTGACTGCAACTGCTATTTATTTGGTTTATGTTGTATTGAATGTACAACATTGAATTACTGATAAGTTTACAAGTTTAGCTATACGAGATTGAATTTGATTTGAATAGATAACTTGTGGTGCAAGTGTTACGATGTCTTCAGATTTAGAGTTTAATGGGAAAGTAGTTTTGGTGACGGGCTCGAGCTCTGGCATCGGGGAGACCACTGCTGTTCTGTTCGCCAAATTGGGTGCAAAAGTTGTGGTCACCGGAAGGGATGCGACCAGAGTTGATGAGGTGGCCCTTCAATGTCAGCAAATCTCACCGCAAAACTTCAAAGTATCGCTTTTTATATTTATAATTCATTGGCAATAATGGCATCACTTTTTTGGATTTATGTTTAGGTTCTGAAATTTGTTGGGGACTTAGGAGAGGATCATAATGTGGATCGGCTCATGGATCTGATAGTTAAGACTTATAACCAGTTGGATGTTGTGGTGAATAACGCCGGCAGAGGAATAGATCGGACAGAGACGGATCCGATGAAGTCTTTCGATGACTTGCATAAAGTGAACCTCAGATCCATTTATCGCATTTGTCTTAAGTATACCAGAAATACTAGAAATATGATTAGAGATATAACAAACAAATATACAGTACATTTGAAAAATTTGTTTAAAAAATATCATTTCAGAGCTCAACCTTTGCTGGAAATATCCAAAGGAGTTATTATCAATAATTCCAGTATTTGTGGACTAAAACCAGTAAATAAACAATTACTTTACTTAATTGTCGATATTTAATTTTAACCAAGTATAAGATAAGTTAATTTTATTCAAGAACCTATAATTTTATATACATAAAAATGCAATATATTAATATTATTATTAATAATAATTCATATTGATCTTAACAGTCGTACATTTACTATAAAATTTATAACAAATTTAATTTTGATCGTAGCATGTAATTATTAATATAATATTAGTAATACTAATTTAAAAGTCATTTATAAAAGTTATAATCTTGTTTACATTGATTTATATAAAGAAAAATATTTTATGATTTAAGTTTCCAGAAATGCTGGCTTACTGTACATCCAAAGCAGGTCTGCTTGATAAATTTCTTTTAAGGGTGCACTGAATACTGAATTGCTACTTAATGTTACCAGGACTGGATATGGTGACGAGATGCTTGGCCATTGATTTTGGTCCAAAAGGGATTCGTGTGAACAGCGTTTGGTATGAAACGATACTTTTAAGAGTGAAATAAGAATTAATAAAAATTGCAATTAATTGAAGTCCGGGACAAATTCAAACTCCAATATTTGAACGCTATTTGGGTTTCAATGAGGAGCAGTTGGACGCCATGTGGAGAGCTGTCAGCGATAAGTATCCGTTGAGGTGAACCTGAATTACATTAGAAAATGTTGTCAAATGAATACTAAAGTAGTCTCTAAACCAAGACGTCCGGGAAGTACAGAAGATGTGGCGAAAGCCATTGTATTCTTGGCGTCAAACGACTCTTCGTTCATAACTGGCGTTCAATTGAAGATCGACGGCGGATACCTGGACTCCCCTCACCTCGCACTCCCTTAATTACCTCGCTTCTTATATAATACAATATCACAGTTATTAATGTAATTGATCTGAACTCTGTTAACACTGATTTGTATTAAACTTAATATATGAGCACATATGGCACTCAATTAATGAACAATATTTATATTAACTCACATTTAATTGTTTATAATATTTTTGTGTCAATACGAATTACAAGTTAAGTAATATGAATTTATAATTATTCGGTAACTTTATATTAATATATTTAACATAATATACTGTATAACTACAGTACCAGTACATAAAGAAAAGTTGTAAACATATACAGTATAAGTTAAAAGCACTTAATCAGTACTTATGTAATTAAACAGAAAATAAGTAAGAAAGGTAGATTGTTTGCTTGTAACCTTACTGATCTACCCTATTGATGATGTATAAAATTAAGTAATTGTTTGTGTACACGATAAATTATTAATCAGTCCTTGTTTTGCTTTGGTTTTTAAAACAATACAAATTATGCAGGAAATTAATACAGATATTATGATTAATAATATGATGATTGCATGAGAATTAAAATCTTGGTCACTTTCATTTAAAATAATTCTGTTATTTGGTGTTGACATTAAGGTGATGGATGTCTGAATATAATTATGATATCCTCCGAAGTGATTATATATTTCTAATGGACAGTTATATAAGTCCTTAAACACAAGTCTAGGTTCATCGGAAAATGAAAGGCTATCTGATATATTACTAGAAATATAAAACGAATCCTTAAATATATAAACCGCGTTATTATCAGCAAAAGCAGCATCAATCTGATCCCATGGTATATCCAAATCCTCAGTATTAAACGGATGAAATGGACAATTATGTATTAAATACTTATTCCCTAAATTAAGATATATTTTATTTTTAAATTTAGTATTTATTTATAGCTTATAAATTATAAGAAAAAGCATTCAAACCTCTAAAATAATAGAGACTTTTGTTGGTCACATGAAATGAAGCATCGATTTTATGAAGGAATTCAACATCACTTAAATGGTGTGTCTCAGCAATTGACTCCCAGTTCCATACATATTGTTTATCAGCCTGGTAAGTAATAAAAAATATTTATATAAACAAATTTTTAAAAAATAAAATACTACCGTGAAAAAGTATGTAAAATATGTTTGTGAAACAACACCAGTAAAATAACCAAATTGCGAATCCGAGTCTTTATTATTTCCTTTCCATTCAATGACACTCTTTGCGTACTTAACTAAAGGGGGATATTTGAGATCCCAGTAATAGTTACCACGAAATACATAGACTGATCCGTTGGTCAAACGTGTGTATCCGAGTCTTTATTATTTCCTTTCCATTCAATGACACTCTTTGCGTACTTAACTAAAGGGGGATATTTGAGATCCCAGTAATAGTTACCACGAAATACATAGACTGATCCGTTGGTCAAACGTGTGGCCGCGTCTATAGTTCCTGATAAACACAGCGATTGTGGACAACCCAACCATAAGTAGTTAAACCCAACTAAATAAGTGCCGCTTTTGTTCTTTCATTAAAAATTAATTTAATTTAAATTAAGTTATTTTAATATATAAAAATACTGTCATTAATTGTTATATTTTATAATAGCATCTCTTATATTATATTTATAAGCAATACTCTACTGTTAAGCTATAGGTGGTATCATCAAAGGTATATTGGTTAAATTGAGTGGAGTTTTCAAGTGAATCTATCATTTGTTTGTTCAGATTCTTTGGTTGACTATTCAAGTGAACGACAGGCAAGTGATTGGAAGTGATGCCATCCACTCTGACATACATACTATGATTGGCATAAATCACAAAATATATGAATGAATTATTGAACTTTTGAGCACGAATTTCATCGATTGTCACTTTCGTATAATCGGAACAATGTTCGGGTACTTTAGAAATAGTAGTCTGAAAATTATCATAATTGTATCATTATTAAACAATTATTATTTTAATATAAGCTAAGTATTATTGTTTATGCAGAACATAAGTTTAATAACAAAATAAGTTTACCTCAAAGGATACTCCAATTGTAATTAGTAAAATATAATTAACACTTAACAAAGTTAAAAATTCTGTGTAACTCATTTTTACTTTGTTTAAATAAAAATAATTTTTACAAATATCAAGTATAATAATGTTAAAAGAATTTATAAAACAATCAGAAATTCTTATATTTAATATTCTAATAACAATTGAGTTATATAATGAAAGTATAAATAATGAAAATCTAAATTTACATTATGATGTTCATAATAATACTTAATACTGTACTAACTTAAACATTTGTTACTGTGTTTTAGAAAATAAATGATTAAGTTTTATTTTTGATAAAAATGATTTGTTATATAATATATAAATATACGAAACAAATCACATAAAAATCAGCAACAATTTTTGAAAACATATAGAAATTTATTAAATGAAAAATAAATATAAGATAAATACATTGGATAATAAGGATTTTGTTACATTTGCTTTCATAATCATATTATTTATTATTCTTTATTTTATTTTTAAAAATCGCTAAATATTCTCGTAATACATTAATTGCTTTAATGTTTAATGTTTAAAGATTTAAAATTATGTTATTATTATTATATGTTTATGAGATTATTGTTAATAGTGTTTTATGTTAAATATAATTGTAAGCTTTTATAGCCAAACATGTAATTTAATCTATTATATAGATACTGTAATACTATTTTATACTAAATACGGTAACACATTTAAATATATGTAAATAAAATACTTACATTTTGTAATATAAGTATGGTATATCTAGAATAATATTTACCTTTATTAGTTTATAAAAATTTAATTACTAATAAAATATAATTTCTAAATAAAAGGGCAATAAACTTATTATTTAAAATACTGCACTCATTTTTATGGCTGATTTATTATTTAAAAGATTTGTTTGTTTATTAGAAATCATCATAGGAAATAATAAAATATATTAAGTTAGTACAGTATTACCATTTATGTCACAGATATCTCACTAATGAAACCAGAACAACTTTGAATTTTATGTTGTCTAATAATTTTATATCATGGTTATGAAACTAATTAAGATTTTATATGTTCTAAACTTAACAGTATTAATAAAGATACGTGAAATTCATTTGACGAGAAAATATTCACAAATTAATAATCATAGTATAATTGAATTTGATTTTGAGAAAGATTTTTGTAATTTCTCAAATCAACCCGATATGGGCTACTATTTTAAACATCTCTTCAATTCAAATATTGCTGATATATCTGGCAGTGGTTTGTTGTGTTTAGATCTGATTCATATAAATGAGAGTGAGTGGAGAGATAGTAGTGGTACGCGACTAATTAGTCCGTATATCGATGTCTACAATAACACAAAAGGATGTCTTCACATGCGATTCCTGAGTTGGGGCCACAGAATCAGATACTTACGTCTTATACAACAGGACCGACTCAACCAATGCATCTGGCAATACGACAATTACAACTTTGGTTTCATGGATCCCAACCAATACTGGACAACCGCTCAAATTCCAGTCACTCTATTGACGGCAAGTCCACCCAAATTCTTCATCGAAACACAACTTTATAACTATACACAAGGATTTGTATTTATAGATAGTTTAACTCTTAATTACAATCACTGTGCCCAACCTTATAATGTGGGCTTTGGTATGTGCAAATTTATCTATTAAATTAAGTTACACTAATTACATTTATTGTGTAATCATAAGACTAAATGATCTTGATTTAATTGTATAAAATATTTCATGACATTTGATATAATAAAAATTAAGCTAATACCGGAATATACTTTTAAAACTATTTTGTTTGAAAACTCAAAATTCAAATTGCAATGTCAAATGTTTGCATTTCATTTAAAATTATGGATTATTTGTTCAAACTATAAATTAAATAGCATTTGAATAATTATTCAGTTAAGTTTCAGTCATACAGTCTTACACTTGATTTAGAAATTCTTTGTATTGCAATGCAAACCAAATTCTTGCAAATGAATATCTTTACTATTATTATAATAGTGTTGAGTGTTTCAATTGACAAATACCTATTGAGTCCAACTAACTGTCCCAACAACTATCCATTGCCGTGCAATCAAAATAAACCCCATTCTTATGTAATACATAACCGGAAGTATAATCCAATAATTTGCAACTTTGACACCGAGAATGGCTGCACAAAAGAGTTCAAATCGCAAACTAAATTAATTCCCTTTAATTGGATGCAAAGTTTACTAAATCTTTCGGCAAAGGGTTTAATGGTTTTACAGGTTTCTGATAGCAATGAGTGTGCAAATGGGCCTGCTGACTAGTGTGTGAAGATGGGTTGATTACTAGACAGCGTCCATACGGTAAGTTAAACTTGGTAATAATGTCTGATTAATTGTTTCAAAACGTTTTCCCGACGAAATATTATTCAAAGTACTGATGGGGTGAAGCTATAGATAACATGAAAATCTACCAGCGCGACACAAATGACCGATGCATTTACACCTATTATAATAAAAACTTTGCAAATACCGCATCGGATAGCAATTGGATTACAGATAAAGTGATCGTGGATATAAGTGTCAAGAAACCCATGTTTTACATCGAAGTCATCACAAACCCTAACTATAAACATGGTTTTGTAGCCATTGATAGACTTGAATTCAATTATCATTATTGCTAATTTTAATGTCTATTTAATCTAATTTTAATTGCTAATTAGCTAATCGTAATGAGGTAATCAATGAAAACTAAATAAAACTCAAAAATCAAACTATAAATTGTTAATAACTGTACATTTTCAAAAACTCAGTTTGTTACTAACATATGGTCTACAGTCATTACTTACTTACAAACGTACTTTACGACAAAACAAATATTTTATTGTTAGTCAAAAGTTTACTAAATTATTTGTTTAACATTAACAAAATGATTTCAATTAAAAGCAAATTAAGTGTTATATTAAGACAAGCGCTGAAAGATAGTGGTGTGAAGTCATGGATCCGATGCAATACGACTGGCAGTAAGTGGGATGTGAATGACCGACAGTTTGAAGACATTGGTGTCGATTCATACGAACAGCTGATCACCACTGAAGACGTGAAGAAGAAGATTGAGTTAATACTCAGCGAATACGAGTACGAGAAGTACACCACTCTTCGGGTGCCCTCCACTATCACCGCACACGCCATGAAAGAGCTCATTACCATCGAGGACACCACAGAGAGACACAAAATGTATCGATTCCTATACACCAAAGAAATGCACCGAAAGAAGGATCAGATGAAGAGGAAAGAGGTGTCGGAGAAGTACTGGAAGGAGAAGAATGAGATCTATTCGGCCATTGATTGTCAACGGACTGGCATTTGGGACAATGAGAACCAATTGGTGTACGGCTTATGGCATAACACAGTGTTCAGCAAAATCATGAAGACATCCATCTCTCGCCTCCAAACCCATCGGTTGCGAAGAGCGGCACTCTTTGGCCAACAACTGGTCATTGATTTAGCTTTCGATGAATACATGAAGTTATATGAAACGAGACTTTTGTTGAAACAGTTGTCTATTATTTATAATTACAACAAATACAAGACAACGGAACCGTTTGACTTGCATTTCACGGATTGCAACCCAAAGTCCCATTCAATGCAAGAAATGTCTCGTTATTTCCCAAACTATAAATCGCCTCAATTTATGGCCACTCTTCACACGAAGTCCTATTTGGATGTATTCCCCAACGAGAGACTCGTATATCTGACACCACACTCTGATTATGTGCTCAAGAAGTTCAATGATAATGACATTTATATAATCGGAGGAATAATCGATAAGTTTAGTCACGAGCCGATCACTCACTTGAAGGCACACAAACAGGGCATCCGAACGGCCAGATTGCCATTGGATGAGAATGTGTTGTGGAAAACGGGATCCAAGTCTTTGTGTCTCAATCATATCGTCTCCATTCTAGTGCTGTAGTTTTACTGCCCGCTGACCTCTTGTCAGGAGTCCTTATTATAAGGCGTCTCTTTCGTCTTCTTATAGCTTCTCTAACGTATGCTTCTGAGTAACTCTGCTGTTTTTATGTTAGCTATAGTTAGACAACGAGGCAATGATAGGTTCATTTGATTTTGTTTGTATTGAATTCATGATTAATTTAATTCATAAAATAAAATCATTTACAATTTTAATGACTTATTTGATTCCCTGAAACAATGAAAACCTTACATATGATTTATGATTAGGGTATTTATTACCGATATATAAAATGTATCTTAAAGTAAACGATATTTAATATTTGCACAAGTTTTCTTTTGAATCAAAAGTTACTGTATTTATAGTTATTTGTAAGTAATGTGTTGTCATTGCATAATGTGGTGACTTGTATTATACAGTATTACCGTATTTTTGATATAAAAGTTGCAAAACTTGTTTTCTCCTGTTTTTCATACGCGATTGTCATGTCTTCTATCAATATATGAAACGAGGAAATAATTGTGTATTAATTTATGTTATGTTTTGATTATATTTGAACAATTAATTGGTGTTTAAAAATGAGTGAAATCGACATTAAAAGAGACGGTGTTTTGGCAAATTTGGATGATTTGGTCAAAAATGATTTGATTCCTAATGAATGGAAAGACACTATTTTGAATGATGTTCAGGTAAACATTGAAAATGTTAAACAAATGAGTTGAATGTGACATGATTGTGGTTTTTATATTGTTAAACATGAATGATTTATAAATGAGTAGTGAATTAATAGATTTGATTTGAAGTTACAGAAACAAAACGGACCGCCAATTGAGTGTCCCTTTAGTGACGCCTATTACTACGGAATGTCACAGAAGTTTCGCAAAAGCAATAAATTCTCGCAAACGCTGTCATTACGCGAGTGTCTTATTAAAGCGATTAAAGTGTCCAATAATACTGAAAATGTTGACAAACTTTTAGACAATATATTATCTGAAAAAGATTTAGAAAAGGATT